ATGGAAAAAGAAACCAGGTAAAATTATCTTCCTTCTCCTCTCTTCCTGCCAAACAAAACAAAACAAAAATGGGTAATTAATCAACATCACCTATTGTGTTTCATAAGAATCTGGAAAACAGCCAGTTCCAGGAAGTGGAGACGGAATAGATGCAGAGGGAAGAGGTTCTCGGTCTCTGGGCAGTGCCCACTACACAGTAGTTCTCAAGGTGTGGTTCCCTGGTGCAGCAGCACCAGCATCACTGGGAACTTCGTTAGAAATGCAGAGTCTCAGGCCTCACCCCAGACCCACTGCATCAGAAACTAGGAGTGGGGCCAGTAATGTGTATTTCAATCAGAACCACCCTCTGGTTAACCCTGATGCTCACTCAAGTTTGAGAAGCCCTCAACCTCAGGTGCACCCTGGTTTCCTGCATTGGGAACCATTTAAATCAGAGTGTGAAGGTTCTCCAACCACTTGCTCCCTGCCGCCAGCCACTCCTGCCATTCCCATCCCTCTCTCCTGCGCCTTTCCTTGGCCTTGCCTTTTGGGGGCACCATCCCAGCTTGGCCTATCCTTTCTTTCCAGGTGCTACTCAAATCTCTTCTCTTCAAAGACCCCTGAGACACTTCAGTCCTAGGAAGCACTCCCTGCTATGAAGCCACATGTATTCACATCTGTAACTCTCATTCTACACTGGCCTGCCTATCTTAGATTCTGATTCTCCCAAGCCTAGAAGTGCCTTGGGTGCAGGGTCCTCGTCCTCAAAGTTGCCAGGAGGTGGGCCCAGAAATCATTTCCTGCAAAGGAGATCCCAGAGCACGTGTATAAATCAAAAAGGAAGACTGGGAGGGGAGCAGGCCTCCCAGTCTCTGCAGATTGTCCTGCTGGCACATGGCCCATAGGCAGGCCCTCCCCTGCAGGCCCCGCATGTTATTCCCCACGTGGATTAGAGGCTGAACACAAACAGAATACAAAAGACAAAAGACAGGGAGCAGCGTTGCTGTCAGAGTCTATAAAAGTCTTGGAAGTGACAGCCGAGCTCTTGCCTGCTGCTGCTGCCCTGAAATCCAGAAAGAATCAATTTCAGACCCAGGGCCAAATGGTGCCCCAGGGGGCGTGCCTGTGACAGGTGCTGACTCCGCCCAGACCCCAGGACCCACCCAGCCCGGAGATCAGAGTGGGGGAGGAGCAAGGGGGAATGGAAGAGTCGCCCTACAGCATAAAAAGGAAACACGCACATCTCTCTGTCTCTTTTTCAGTCTCTCTGCCTCTGTTTCTCTGTCTCTGTCTCTGTTTGTCTATATCTTTGTCTCTGTCTCCCTCCCTCCCTTTTTCTCTGTTTCTTCTTTGTCTCTGTATTTCTGTTTCTCTGCCTCTTTCCCTCTGTCTGTCTCACTCTATCTCACTGGCGTCTACTGCTGTATTCCTTCTCTGAAACTCTCTTTACTCATTATTAGGATTACAACGAAAATCATTTTCTTTCTTGCTTCATGAAACTAAACTGTGACCCTGGGGATAGTGACTGTGCCAACTACCCCTTTGGACTCCAAGTCTTCCCCAAACAGAGACATTTTCAATAAATACTTGTAGTTCATTGATAAGAATGTATAGAATTCCAGAAATTACATTTATTTATCCTTCTGGATTGCAAGAAAGGAATTATTTAGCAGGGGCCAGTGGGCATGCATGCATGCACGTAATGAGCTCTCTCAAGTCACAGTACAGTTTTTTTTGTTGTTGTTTACACGTTTATTTTCAGAATACAGGAGTATCGTATGGGTTAGCATTTTCCATTTGCCAGACTCATGTGGTGGAAACGGGAAGCATTCAGGCTAGGGTTGGCAGATTTGGAGATTTGGCAAACTAAAGCATGGGGCACCAGTACATTTGAATTTCAAATAAACAACAAATAATTTTTTAATACAAGTATGTTTCGAATATTGCATGGTCTGTGCCCTAGGAGAGTATCTGTTGTTTCTCTGAAATTCATATTTACTGAGCATCCTGTATTTTATCTGGCAACCCTGTCTCAGGACAATTCAAGTAGAAAAGGGGAATAGAGAACTGGTAAAGGAAAAAAAAACTTTAAAAGTTGTATCACACTTTATTATGTTATTTTTTAAAAGAAGGAGAACAAACCCCAAACCAAAAATCACTTCCGCGACACATTTCTTAAAAGCAGAAATTAGGTTCCTTTTATGTTAGTGCAAAGATAGGTGCCAAGATGGGGTCTCAGATGGAGTGATTTTAAATCTCAGAAAGAGCTTAGCTGTTTTTTTAAAAAGGAAAGTTGGCAAGTGATTAGTGCCGATGTGGCCCAGCTGCTCTTTTGTACTTTGAAAGAAACAATTAAAATGGCTGGGACATTAAACTTTAAAGAGCTGGGATGTTCATATTCACAAGCTAATTTTAAAAAGAGGCTGGTACCTGTGAAAGGAAGGGACATTTTCAGAAAGGACATGGTCTTCTACCTTCTGGACTCTAAATTTTGAAGAATCATTTAAAATAGCTCAGAGGTAAATATTACAGATAAAATACCCCCAGGGATAAGAAAGCTCTTTCTTGCTTAGACATGTAGATACCAGACACAAAATTAACTTTTGCTCACTTTTTAGATGATAAATACTAGCATCTGAGAAATTAAATGTTGGAAAAGACAAATCCAGAACTGGTTTCTTTCTATAAATTGCTGAGCTCCTGTGATGTGCTAGGTCCTGGGGTTAAGGAATAGAAATGAACAAAGCAAATCCCTACCCTGGAGGAAGCTCACATTTAAGTGGAGATGACAGATCTGTAAGCAAAGACAGTTCACTGTGGTGAGGTGGTGTGGTTAAAAGCATGCTTAAAAAAGGTTAAAAGTGGCCCTGTGCTCAACACAGGCTCAGCCCCAGCCCCACCACTTACGCAGTGTCTGAGCTTTGGTGTCTACATCTGTAAATGGGAATAAAAATGGGAATAAAGATAGAATTTCTTCAATTAGATCACGAGGACTTACTATGGTAAGCAAAGTTAAGCGTTTAGTACACTGCCCGCCATACAGCAAGTGCTTTGTTAGACCTAGCTACTATTGTAAGTGTGGTCATCCCTTATGAGATCTATGGAAGCACAGAGGAAGGAGTCTGTCATTCCTGCTTAGACGGGGGTTGGGCATGATGTGTGGCTCCTCAGGGGCTGAGGCTTAAAGGAGGGTAGGAGTAGCTGAGGGCATTCCCTTCACAGTGAGCAGAGGGAACACAGGGTGTCCAGGATAGCCATGGGCATGGCGGTCATATGAGAAATGACAGTGTGTGGGGTAACAGAGGTGACCAGGGTCCCCATTATCATGGGCCTCATAAACCATGCCAGGTGTCTGACCTTCTGGAAATATCAGAAAACTGACGGAGCTTAAAGATGACAAGGACATAAATCTGCATTTCTTTTTTGTTGTTGCTGTTGAAAGATAAGCAATTTATTGACCATCCACTTTTCTAAAAAAACACAAATGTGAGAATAACATAAACACACTCAAGACTCACTAGCCCCTGCAAGACAGGAAGCAGCCTTGGACAGAGAGTCTGCAAATGAGTTTCCTTATACCTAATGTCTGAACTTCTCACTCATTCTAGGGTTTCATGTTTTGTTACCTCTTACAAAGGAAAGGAAACTGGCTAGAAGATTCATGTACAAGAAGGTCACAACTTTAAAGCTATTTGACGCTAATGTTGTGTACAATCTAGTTTGCAACTCTGAGAGACAATATCAAATAAATACTGTCAAATACTACTCCCAGTTAACCTTGACTGTCATTGTTCTTTGAAATTGTCTTTAGGATTGATTATGTCCTCTCGCTGTAGCTTTCGTTTATCCCAGAGCACAAACCCTAAAGTCTATGTGCAGTCTCCATGTCCAAGTATAGATGTCTGTTTCAGGACAACCCTGGGTTGCAGTAGTGTTTCCCTCTCTGTAGTGTGTGCTTGGTGTCACGCCCTTGGACAGGCTGGCCAAATGGCGGCGTAATGCAGGGGTCGATAGGGTCAACTCTCTCTCTGCCGAACTTGCTTCCCTTTCAATCTGGTCACTGCTCATGGTGTAGGTGGAAATCTTGAGCTCAGTGACGACCTTGGCCTATCTTTGGTCTGAAATTGCACTCTTATGTAACCGAATCCATTTCTTCACCCAAAATTAAATAGCGCTTTCAAAAGTTGTCAGCCATATTCTTTAGGAAGTGTCCTGAGACGGAGCTGGAGGGTCCAGGCCTTCCGGCTCTGCAGGGAGTACTAGCACAGCCGCTTCTTTCTGGGCCACCAGGAATTCATGAATTGCTTGTTCTATGTGTGGCCTGAAGATGTGGTTTAGTTTTGGATTCACCACCTGAGAAATAATCCTGTCCACTCCAGCTTCCGACCTCTCTGGCTGAACCACACTCTGCCTCAGACCATCGCGCAGTTGGTTTTCGTTCACTGAAGGATTCCATTCCTGCTTGTCCAGATGTGCTGACACAAAATTATCCGCTTTCTGGCTCAGGCTGTGGTAAGCTGGCTTGGTGTCCTCGTCGGCCTGGCAGTCCCGGCGGAAGCTGTCAAAAAGGCCCCGGCTCTTGAGCTGCTCCAAGATGAGAGCGATGAGCTGAGGGTCGCCAGGGGGCAACAAGGCCGGGTTGATGGGACCGCCACCCCCGCGGGCCCGGGTTGCGCCCGTGGCCGCCCAGGCCGAGGCCTGGCCCGCACCGCCGCTGCCGCCGCCGCCGTCCGCCATGACTGCGCCCCGGGCCCACAGGAAGACGATTACAGCTTCTTCTCCGGGACAGAAGGCCCAGAGTGTGTAGAGGTGGCTAAGGGGGCGGTGAAGGAGGAGGGCCCCAAGGAGGCAGCGGCGGAGGTGATGGTGGCGGTGATGGCGGCGGGGACGGTGGTTGGGGCGGCCGCGGGGGAGGCCAGCTCCAGGCCGCGGAGGTTGCGGAAGACGAGGCAACAACCGCCTGCTGGATTCCAAGCGCGCCCCAGATGGCGTCACCGTTGACCTTTGCATTGTGAGGCAGGAACCGTAATCTGTATTTCTTAAAAGATCTCTAAGAGGGAGGTGGGAAACAAATGGGAGTGGGCAAGGGGGCAAACAGGGAGACAATTTCAGCAACCATTTCAATGCTCTACGAAGGAGATGGCGAGGAGTGAATGATCCTGGTGGCCTGGCAGGTGAAGAAGGTAACAGGGATACAAGAGATATTTAGGAGATAGACTCATCCCAGGGATTGGAGACCAACCGGGTGAGAGGCGAGGGAAAGGAGAGGGTCAAGGATGACCCCCAGGCTTCTCACTTGGGCAGGTGTATGGAGGTACCATTTGCTAAATGGAGAACAGGTATAGAGGTGAGGATGGGAGACGGGGACATGATCATGCATTCCATTTGTATTTACTAGTTTAAGATGGGTATGGGTTATTCAGGTGCAGACATCTGCCTATGAAGTCCAAAGAAACAAGGACTCGGGGCTGGGGAGAGACATCTATCTCACTGAAGATAGAGACTATAGGTGGCAATCACAATGGAGAACTTAGAAAAAGATACAGGAAAACCTGGAGAGCCCATGAGGGGGACTGAGAACAACACTAAAAAGATGGAGGGAAAACTACAAGAGCCTTGGATCATAAACTGCAAAAGGGCACATTTCATGAAGGCCATGGGTGAAATGCCACACTGTGTTCCACAAGGTGTCCATTGGCTTTGGTAGCCATTGATGAGCCTAGGGCGGAGGCATCAGTTAGAGGGAGGTCATTTCAACAAGAGAACTGTATTGCAACCAAGAGCCACAAAAGGCAACCACATCCAGCGCCATCCAATAGAGAAGTGCAGGTGCACAGAAAGAACCTTCTAACAACATTTCAAAAGAAAAGCAGATCCCTGATTTCACCCCAACACTCACTTCCCTCGATTAAAATGCGCCTGAAATGTAGACACCAGATTGTTTTATAAGCCCTAGCATAACTTAGTATATTTCGCACAGAAAGTTTACACAACAGACTCTGTCAATAACCTCACCCCATAGCTTCTAACATACAAGTACAGATGCCTCAGAGGGACATCATTCTGAATCTCATCCCACAGGAGACAGTGAAACTACCAAGACTTCACCATAGCAACCCCCCACCTGTGCTCCTCACCATCCCCATGATTAGCTGAACAAGTCGGTTCCATATTTTTTTAACTAATCAATTTTTATTGAGGAACTAGTTGATGTGGCCCTGTGCTAAGCTTTATGGAGCTTTCCATGTGCCCAGGCCAGTCTAACACTCAATAAATGTTTGCTGTGGCTGTTGTTTAAGATAGGCAACATGGTCAGCCTTTGAAAAGCTTACAATCTAGTTGGAGAGGGGAGATGTTGACAGAGAAAAACGTTCAGGACATATACAGGCTCCATGGGAACTTGGATGCAACAGGCACACCTAGCATGGTGTCTGGAACAAAAGACAGGCACCATTAATATTTGCAGAATGAAGACTGCACAGAAGAAAGGAGGGTGTCCCTGTCGTATGTTGGAGTTCACTGAATGGTAGGAGAATGTGGCAGATGGAAGAAGACTTTGCAGAAGTGCTAGAGACTGAACTGAGTCTTCATTTATCCCCTCACTGTGCACGAGCCCTTCAGATTGTGCAGGAGTTCTCTTAGAATGGAATCACCTATGTGGATCTGAGATGAGATCTATGGGTTTCTCCACTCACAGCCTCACCCACAGATGGACATTTACCTAAGCTTTTGAAAGTGATGATAATAACAATCCTATTGCAGTGTTCCATTCTGTGCTGAAAAATATCCACTGTCAAACACCTTTTCTCCACCTCCTCCAAAAGTCTTAAATAGGGTGCTGGCACGGTTTTTCTGAACAGCTGACTTGTATTATTTGTAATCATAGACATTAAGTTACCATAATTATCCCATCACCTTGGATCAGGGTGTAAGGCATAGGACAGTTCTCACCTCTCACTGAGGTTTCAAATCACTGCTCTCGGCTGCCTGGCAAACTAGAAGGCCACTAGAGTAACTTCTCTGACCTCTAGCTGACCTGCAGGGATCAATGAACAATTAATTACTATCATCCCGCTCCGGGAGAGATAGCACACTGCCATTTCTCAATTACAACTGGAAGTGCCCCTTGGCTGACAGCTGCCTGTCGGACAAGGCAAGCCCCATGCTGATTCAAACCAGTGCCTCCCACTGCAGCTACACACACGGATACACACAGGGACATGCCATATAACTCAGACCACATCCGTTCCCCCACGACACTCACCCACAATCACACAGATCACACCATCTTCCCACTCGCTATTCCCACACCTGCAATCACGCTAGTGTCAGACTCTGAAATGTAGATACCAGAGTGTTCTATGACCCTTAGCATAATTCAGAGATTGTGTATTTCACTAAGAAAATATTACAGACTCTGTCAATAATCTCATATCATAGCTTCTAACATAGAAGTACAGATGCCTAGGAGGGACGACATTCTGAATCTTACCTGGCAAGAAACAGTTAATAGTGTTTATCAATATCAATTTTCCTCATGTATTATGTGGGCACCTAGACCAGTATTGTTCAAGGGTAGGGATGACCCTTGCCTTTATGACTCAGGAAGACTTTGTCTTTGCTATACTTCTTGTGACTTTTCTACAGGTAAAACTTTTGGTGTTTTCCACCTTCATCTCTTCCTACATCTTTAGTGTCCCCTCCACCCCCATCCTAACCCTCTGTGTTCTGCTTCCTCCCCAGTCACCTTGACCACATCACCTATGCCTTTCCTAGCTCCTCCCCAAATACCAAAGCACCGTCTACATATTCACTCCTTTCCAGCCCCATTCTCTCCACTCCTGATAAATGAAAAACCTGGACTGATCAACTCAAACTGAAATGTTTCTGGCTGCTGACAGCTTCAGCTACCACTCCTAGAGTTAATCCTAAAATTCAAAAGAGTAAATATACTTGCAACCTCAGAGGCTCCAGTTCTGCTTGAAGGTGGGAGTGGGCTACTTTTGATCATAGAGGCTCAGAGAATCCTCATATCTCACTATGTGCGTATGTTTCCTGCTTTATTTCTACAATCAATGATCTAAACACTGTTTATTCCATTGGAAAGATCCACAAATGCATTAGCCAAGACTTTTGGTTGCACACAACAGAAACCCAGCTTAAAAAAGGAGGGGGGATATATGGGCTCACTTAAAGACCCAAAGGTCTGTCTGGCTGAGGCATAGTGGGATCCAGGTACTGGAACACAATAATCAGAACTTGATCTCTGGTTTCCTCCTGACTGGCTCTCCTCCGAGACTGGATGTCTTAACAGGGCCCTCCGAGCAGCTGCAGGTGTGCGTCACCCATAGTCAGCAACTGCCACCAATAGGAGAGCTGCTAGTTCTGAGGAAGAGAAATTCCAACAGAAGTTTCAAGATCATATCTCTTGGTCTACCTTGGATCAGTCCTCATCCTTGAACCAATCTCATTGGTCAGAGGCATGGAAGACTAAACTAGAGATAATTCCTCTCCTTTCCCAGCTCCTGACCTCTACTACCCAGGGCAGACTCAGCCTGTGGCCAGTCATGGCCCCTGCTGATAACTGTACAAGAACAAAAGCCTTTGCTAGCCCAAAGCTTGACTTAGGGAGCCAGTGACAATTTAGAGGAACTGTAAAACCATGGTTTCTGGGCCCTCATCAGCAAGCAAAACCACCTTAAATTAATCAGGTGTAGACTGTACTATCCTGATCAAACTACCAGGCATCTAGGAGGTGATCACAAATATCATAGTTATTAAAGGGACATGCTTATGACTCCACTGCTTACATTTCCACCTTGCCCCATGCCTAGAAGAGAGCAGTATTAGAATACACTTTTCCAGTCTCTCCCCCGACTGCCCCCATCGTGTGCTGCTTCAGCCAGAGGAAGAGTGACTTATCTGCTTGGTGAGATCAGGGAGAGCCAGGCAAATCCAGTAGGCCACATTGGCCAAGAGCAGAATCCTTGAGTGGGACATGGACATATCTTGCTGGTTCTCTTAGACCTGCCTGGCTTCATCTCCAACCACGAGGGAGGTCTGCTTCTCTTTAGCAGGAATGTAGTTGGATGTGTATGTTCAGACTGAAGAGCCACACGAAAGATCTTGCTACCCAGTTTTCCAGAGAGTCCTATGCTTTGGGTACTATAATTGACTCTTTGATCTCATTTAGCTCCTTAGTTGGCTAAAACCAAGAGGGGAGAAAGCATGAGTAATTACCACTTCCACCCCTTCTAGCACAACAGTAGCAGCAGACGACAACGATGATGATGATGATGATGAAGGTGGTGGTGATGGTTACAGCAAGGTCTCTCCCAAACCCAGAAGCTGTAGGGAGTCAGGCCAGCAGTGACCATGCTCTCTCACTTTCCCTCCCTAAGAGAACCATCAGCCCTGAGTGTCCCCCTATTGGGGGCTGACCCTTGTCTTCTGCAGAGAACACAAAAATAATTGCAAAGTGCTGTCTCCATCCTGCAGAAGCACAGCAGTCGCTTGAGTTTGGACATTAAATCATACCAGAAGACTGTATATCTGCCCTGGGAAGAAAGGAAGCAATTGAAACCCAGTATTTAAAGGCAGTCTCAGATTTATCCTCCCTCTTGACAGCCTACAAAACGTTGGAGAATAGTCCCTGCCTTTCTCTGAAAGATAAAACAGGATCCACTGTCCAGAAATTGGCCCTGAGAAAGTTCATCACTCATTCTCATGTGACCTTCCTAAGAAACAAAAAACTGCAGGCCAAAACTCTGAGTTTTAACAGCCTTCTACTTTCACTCATTTTCCAAGCAAGTGCTGTGTTGCCTTCTCAGCATCCCACGATGTTCCACTTTTTGTGCATTTCCTTTCTTGTTTTTTTCACCAACAAGGCAGCAGCACTGATTTTTGTGCATTTTCATGGAGATACATCTCACCCACTGGCTTTGTTCAACCCACGCCCCACGCTTAACCAGCAGACCTCCATGACCCCGGAAGAGATTTTGAAGGCCAAATATTTTGGCTTGTTTCCATTCAGAAAGCTTCCCTATTGTTTGGACATTAATAAACTAAAATCCAAAGTCCTCAACCAATTACCTCACCTCCTAATCTAACTTTGGGAGTTTGCTGGCTCCATGTCAAGCCGATTACTGACGAAAGGCAATCAGTCATCATGCCTTGTCTGTGGGCAGGTGAGCCCAACCGCCCTGCAGGGCCAGAAGCAAGTCAACATAGGATTGCGTCATCTGCAGCTCTCAGTCTGAAGAACTGTGGGTAACACAGTGTGCTGATAACCCCACTCCCTGTCTTGCAGTAGGAGCTCACACTGTTGACAATTAACCCGATCCAAGAGACCCACATAAATCAATCACTACAGGGAAAAAAAAATTGTTCTTGATCTACAGTGACATATGTATAGACAAGGTCAGTGGCCCGGGTTTACAACCTTGCTGTCTGAAGTGAGAATCCGGGGAGGAAGCTGCCGATAGAAGATAGGGGCATTTCCAAGAATTTCCAGAGACCCATGCTGAGCAACCTGCTTTGCATTGGACATTCCCGCCCTCAGGTCTGTTTCCTTCCCTTGACATTTGATGCCCTCTGCACTGGTATGTTTTGTGTTGCTATAAAGGAGTACCTGGGACTGGGTAATTTAAAAGGAAAAGAGGTTTATTTGACTCATGGTTCTGCAGGCTGTTCCAGAAGCATGGCACCGGCATCTGCTGGGATCTCAGGAAGCTTTTCTGGAAGGGAGAAGGCAGGGGGAGCAGGCGTGGCTCTTGGTGAGAGAGGGAGCAGGAGAGACAGCAGGAGGTGCCAGGTTCTTTTAAACTAAAATCATACAGTGAGAACTCATCACCACAGAGAGGGCACCAAGCCATTCACGAGGGATCCACCCCCGTGGCCCATTTGCCTCCCAGCAAGCTGCACTCCAACACTGGGGATCACAATTCGACAGGAGATTTGGAGGAGACAATCATCCAAACCGTATCACCCTCTTTTGGGTTTCTGACTCAGTGTTGTCCCCAGTCCCACAGACTTGCAATTCCCAAAGCGTCCCCGCAACTGCAGGGCCATTGGCCAGGCCCTCTACCCAGAAGTCCCTTCGTCCTTCTTCACTGACACTACTCCTTCCCCTCCCCACTGGAAACCTCCTGTTTGTCATTCAGGTCTCAGCCTAGACATTCTTCAGTCCAGGCAACCTTTCTTGACCCCTCATTTGGCTCAAGGGCCCTTCAGGTGTTCTCCCATAGGGTCTGTATCCATTTCCTGGGGCTGTTGTAGCAAACTACCATAGACTGGGGACTTAAAGCAGCAGTCCCCAAACTCTGGGGCACCAGGGACCAGTTTCGTGGAAGACAGTGTTTCCACGGGCTGGTCCAGGGCAGGTGAAGGTGGTTTCAGGATGATTCAAGCATATTGCATTTGTTGTGCATTTTATTTCTATTATTATTACATTGCAATATATAATGAAATAATTATACAACTCACATAATGTAGAATCAGTGGGAGCCCTGAGCTTGTTTTCCTACAACTAGACGGTCCTATCTGGGGGTGATGGGAGACAGCAACAGATCATCAGGTATTATATTTTCACAAGGAGCGTGCAACCTAGATCCTTCACATGCACAGTTCACAATAGGGTTCACACTCTTGTGAGAATCTAATGCCACCGCTGATCTGACAGGAGGGGGAGCTCAGGCAGTCATGCTCACTCCCCTGCCACTCACCTCCTGCTGTGTGGCCTGGTTCCTAATGGGCACAGACAAGTACCAAGGGGACCCCTGGTTTAAATAACAGAAATATATTGTCACACGGTTCTGGAGGCTGGAAGTTCAAGATCAAGATGTTCCCAAGGTTGGTTCCTTCTGAGAGCTGTGAGGGGAGATCTGTCCCAGGCCTCTCTCCTCAGCTTGTAGGGGGCCATCTTCTCCCCGTGTCTCTTCATGTCATTTCCCTTCTATACCTAACTGTGTCCAGATTTCCTCTTTTTACAAAGTCACCAGTCATATTGGATTAGAGTCCACCCTAATGACCTCCCTTTACCTTGACTACCTTTGTAAAGACTATCTCCTAACAAGGCCATATTCTGAGGTGCTGAGGTTAGGACTTCAACAGAAGAATTTGAAGAGGAAAAAATGTAGCCCATAATAGGACCCTTATTACTTCTCACCTACCATAGGATATTAACCGGCCTCATTCCTCCTCCATCACCCTCACTGAGGGCAGGAATGTTGTCCGACCCTCCCTCTAGTCCAGTATCTGGCATGGGGTAGGTTCTCATTTCTATTCATGATTTCACATGCCTGCCCCTCTCTTCCCTTTCTTCATTGTGTAATGCCCTTTGCTACTGACAGCGTGGGCCCTGGTGGCCACAGGAATTGAACTGCCTGGCATGGGAGTAGGTGGGGTGGGGAGGGCTGCTCAGAGCCCGCCTGCTGTTGGTGACACAGCGGTAATGACCTGGACACAGCTTCCCCATCTGCTTCAACCTCCAGGGAGCCACCACCATGAGGACGAGGGTCCCTCCTTGGCAGGACATGCATCAAGCTAATTCTCCGGCTCCATTTCTTAATCTAATGGGTGGTTCCAGGAATCCAGCCATGTGCTCTAATGGGCCCCTGTCATTAAAGGCTTGGCAAATGCTCACACTCCCAAGCTCCCTGAAGCCCAGGAGGGCTGGCTAAGGGCTGAGAGGCACCAAGGCCATTTTCAAAAGCAAAAGGGCAGCAGGATCATAGTCCGACATTTTTTTAAACCTGCATTTATTTAGTAAATAATGTATGTTAATGCAACATATGCTGTATTATGCAATAATGATAGAAACAACCTGATCCTCCTATCCCAGACTTCACTCGCATCCTGCAGCTGCTCAGCAGGAATCCTGCACCCGCCTCTGGCTGAGGACTCCTCGTCAAGTTCACGAAAGGGCAATGAACGTTTGAGGTCAGCTCCTGGCTGCCTCCTCCCCTGCTGGGCTGCCTGACCTCCTCCTTGTTCCTCCCTTCTCACACCAAGCCATCCACACCTACCACCTTCCACAGACCCTCCTCAGACCTGCAAGACCTCCCTGACTGTGTTGGCCCACAGTGACCTCCAGTCTTGTCAGATCACCTCATCCCTTGTCATTTGGGCATTAGTTGACATACAAGGGGCGTTGCAACTTTACTGCTTCCTCCTTCTGTCTCCTAAGCAGATCGCAGAGTTGCCCTTTCTTCCCCAGGGCACCAGAGCAGTGCTTGGGGCAAGCCAGGATTATTCCAACTTCGGTTGACCGAGAACTTAATGTCACATCAGATCAGTGTTTGCTGGGGGCCTGCGTATGGGGCAGAGGGAGGTGATTGACTGCAGAGGCACATGACATAATTTTTGGGGTGATGGAAATATTCTAATTCTTGACTGAAGTAGTGGTTACTTGGGAATATATATTTCTCTAAACTCACAATTACAATCTGTGTTTTAATGTATGTAAATTATTCCTCAATAAAGTTAATTAAAGAAAACAAAATCCATGTTATCATAACAACACATAGAACAGGTTTCCCTCACAGTTTGGCAACTATGAAGTTCTAACCCCACCCTTGGTAGAGAGCTATTCTGACACTCAATGACTGTGAGAGTTGACCCATGATACTTGTTAGAATCTGGGTTTGAGAGAGCACACAGCATCCATCCAAGACAATGCTATGGGGCCTGTATTATCAGGAAAATTTTGTCTTAGCAGGAGATTGTTAAAATTCACATAGGACATGTTTTATTTGCAAAAAATGGTCCAGGCCCCACCACCAGGAGCCTGGGTTCATGTCTGACAGTCCATGGGTTGTTGGAGGCCTGCTTTCCCGGTGTAGTTTTCTGTTCCTTTAACTATCAAATGAGGCTTCAGGCTGGCTAATCTGTGACACTTCTTTTAACTCTGCAATTCGATAATAAGGCTGCACCATTCCTGTGCACTGATAAAGTCACCAAGTCACTGGAAAATTGGTGCCCGTGACATCCAACATACTCCTGACACACACCTGCCCTTTCACGGGTCCGTTCCTAATTCCTGGTTCTTTGCTGAATTCTTCTTCCATCTCTTAGTTTTTCCTGAGTTCTTGTCTGGTCGAGACTTTCTCACCTGCTTCTCTATTATTCTGGCAACTCAGAGATAATAAGTTTTTTGTGGTGATGGTAGAACCCCCAGCTTTTCTAGTCTACCTTCTCTCTTATATGAGAACTCATGGTTGAGTGCCCTCTGGTACTCTGCCACGGGAAAGCACCAGTACAGGATGAGGACTTTATCAGTTTCAGCTCACATACTCCTCACGGTTCTGTGAGGTAAGTTTTATTATTTTATTTTCACTTTGCAGAAAAAGAAACTGAGCCATAAACAAGTTAGAGGGACTTGCCCAAGCTTACTCAGGCTATGCATGCGACAGCAGGATTGGGAAGTGAAGGCCTCAGACCCCAGCGTCTGTGTGCTTGACCACGATGCCATTCTGCTTCCCTGAGACCCAAGGTAATTCAGGAAGACTGCTACCACCACGTTCTCTTTTCTTTATTAAGGAGAAATGCAACGAATATGACATCCAAGAAGAAAACCCTTCTTCTAAAACAAAATGGGTGATAGGATAATCCCCAACTAATTTTTGGATAATTTTTGCCTAAAGTCTTATCATTGCTGGGAATGAAGGGTTAGTATTGGAACTGCAATTATTAGTGGGGGTGGGGGATGTAGGTGATTTCCAACACAGATGTCCCCTCCACCCCACTGGAATTCCCACAAAAATGTCACAGAGCCATAGAAACCTCCTTGGGCAGGCTCCCAAACTTAAAGACAGATTGCCCTTAACATGGAACAACCCCAGAAAGACCTTTATCAAATTATGCCCTTATGGTCATGGTGTTTCATATATTCCTTGAAGGAGAATTCAATGTAAAATGAGTTTAAGAAATGCTGGGAGTTCAAACACATCTCCTTACTAGTGTACTTCAAAACATTTATTATCACAAGTGAATTGCGAATCTCCCAACATAGTTTACCATGTTTATTTTCACCATGGAAGGTTGTTGTTGGTGTATGTGTGTGTGGTAAGGGTAAGGTAAGGGTAGGTATTTGTTTTTGCTAAATGCCTTTCATTAATACCATCTTGAGGAAAACACAAAACGACATTTAGAAAAATACTGCTACCATGGGTAGAAGACAGGGTGAAGACTCAGACAAGTTAATATGGTGGCCAGCCTCCAAGATGGCTCCCAGTGATTCTCGCCTCTGAGTATTCCCATTTTTGTGTAGTCCCTTTCCACATAAGGCTGACCCGTACTGCTAAGTAGGATATTTCCAGAAAGGATGGCATAAGACTTCTGAGGCTAGGTCATAAAAGACATTTCAGCTTCTTTCTTGATCTCTCTTGGATCATTAACTCTGGAGGAAGTTGACTGCTATGCTGTGAAGAACTCAAGCAGCCCAGTGGGGAGATCCAAGTGTTATAAAGAACTGAGGCACCTCACCAATAGCCAGCACAGGCTTGCTGGTCACAAGAGTGAGCCATCTGGGAAGCAGATCCCCCAGCCCAGTCAAGTCTTCAGATGACTGCAGTCCCCACTGTCATTCGAGTTCATGAGAGATTATAAGCCAGAACTAACCAGCCAAGCCACTCTTGAGTTCCTGACCCACAGAAACTGTGTGAGATAATAAATATTAATTGTTGTTTTAAGTCACTTTTGGGGTCATTTGTTATGCAGCAATAGATGCCTAATACAGTTAAGCAGAACTTCCATGATGTTTCAATGTAATGAGTCTTTGGGAAATAGTTTATACCCTTTAGAAATGAAGAGCAGTGGTCTTCTGGCTACCATATTTCTACAACTATATAACTTCTGTAACTACAGAAAAATAACAGCAGAAACATTTGAGAAAAACATTGGGGATGTTTTTCTGAATGAACAGGAAGACCAGTGGTGATTGGTACTAATGTGTGGCTCCCATAATTTCATTTTCATCTACTACATGTAGGTACATGTTTTCTTTACCTATAGTAAAACGTTGACCTGCATTACATTAGTTTTTCTATATAATAAGAACAGCACGTTACTCATTACTGCTATCTGCCTGTCTTGGGCTGTAAACCCCTAGCTGCAAGGACTGATAGTACACCTGGAACAAAAATTCTCATTTTGCTTAACAGTTGTGCTTATGGAAAAGGTAACAGTGTGCTCAGAGCACCATTAACCCATCTGTCAGCTTTTAGCCTGTTCCTGAGAGTCTATGAACTTAGTCTTAAAATCCTACAAAGAAGGAACTCTCATAATCTCAACAAAGGATCACATTCTATTAATATTTTAATGTCTGCTTTGCTACAATAAAGTTTTGCTATATTATGAGAGAAATTTTGAGCTACTGCCCAGAAGAGGATAAAACAAGATATTTAAAGATTCAGTACTAAATAATGTTAATAACACCAATATGATGCTTGGTCTGAATTTTCTTGGAAAAAAATACATTTTTAAAAGATACACATGAATAGATAAATATAGTCACAAACTCTCAAGTTGAATAAGGGAGGCTACATTTCCCTGAGCCTTGGAACAAGGATAATAAAATATTGCTTTTATGGAGCCCTTTTCTTGGAAAAAGAGCTCATAAAACTTTATCATACATGTATTTGCTCTCTTAATGTAATCATTTAATCTCCCTCATGCTTTTCTCGAAGGCATCTTTACTACCATGTGGCGGGGACTCCAGACTAATTGTGTTTACAGACAATGGTCAAGCCATCTTCTGAAAGGCCTGATTTTCTGAGGGAATGCAATAGTAAAAAACTCCAAGATTTTTTTCCTTTATCTGAAAAACAAAATTATTGGGGTTTACTAGGATTGTAACCAGTGTCCCTATGAAGCAATGAGCTTGTTGTGCTGATTAACCTTATCTGCTGCCTCCTCATTCATTCTCTTGGTCACACAGGTTGCCGTGGGAGAGTAAACACAGCCCTAGACCTTACCTTTTCACCTCGTCCTAATCTTCCTTTAGGGGCTCCTAGCAACTGTCCTGCCCACAAGAACCCAGTAAAAAGAGGAGGGTTGTGAGCTCAGACAAACAATTAGGCCTTTTGACCAACCAATATCAACCAAGAGAAGGGAAGGGTGTGAGCTCAGACAAAGCAATTAAATCTTGCAACCAATATCAACCAAAAGAAGGGAAGGATGCGAGCTCAGACGAAGCTATTAGGTCTTTTGACCAATATCAACCAGGATAAGGGAAGCTGGGGGGCTTCCTTCTGCGATCTTTATCAAATAAGTTAAGCTGACTCTCAGGGGATGATATAACCTCTAGGTTAGGTGTGTCCATGCCTCGTGCGTTCTTTCATTTTGCCCAAAGAAGTGAGATGCCAAGCTCTCCCATCTCCTAATGGAGTGTTGGGCTTTGCTCAAGAGGAAGGGGCAGTGCAGGCAAACCAGCCACAGGTGAGGGTTGGGCAGTGCTCCAGGAACTGCCTCGGCACTCAAACCCAGAGCCCAGTTTTGTCCTGTTCCTGGCTGCCTTTCTTACCAGAGATGCCCCTCTATCTATATTGAGATTTTACCTTTTTAACGGTTAATGAAAGGAGAGAAAGATGCAATTACCAGCAGTTTAGGAGCCAAGAGAGCATTTCCAAAGCCAATGCTCAGATGTCTCTAGTCATTATTCTCCAATTCTCTCTCCTAATAGAGCTGGTTATAGCTCTTGATCTGAATAAAATTTCACATCCACGTCTTTCCTCACACCCTGCTCTTGATGGAAGTCCAGAAGGCCCAACAGATTATTGTTTGAATGAATGAAGGATAGATGAATGAATTAATAATTTTTCTAATGGAATAGAGCATTCAATCCTCAGAACAATCTGGTGAGACACACAAGTATTGTATTCTTCCACTTTTAACAGATGTGCAAACTGAGGTATGGAGGGATTTAACAACGTCCTAAGGTCACATGGAGAATGAGTGACACTGAATTAGAGCTTACAATGCTCTAAGTGGATAGTTCACAAACTATGTCTTGCTTATGCCCATTTAGTTGGGCCATTTAGTTGATAAGTAGTTAGCCCTGTTCCCTCAGCTTATGGTGGCCCCGTTTCCCCCTTCCCTGACTCTGATCCATAAGCACCTCCCAGTGCTCCCAGGCTTTCGTGGTCCAACAAAACCCTTGTTTCTTCCCTGGTGCCGTCCTGAGACCCACGCATGGAAGTAACCTCTTCCTCCCTGGTGCCTCCCTAAGGCTGCTCATGATTTTCCATCCTGGCTCCTCTTTGCTATATCCATTGGACACCCACAGCCTTGCCTGGATGGCCACTCCCACTACACCTGGGAAAAGTCTAGTTGGAGGAGGTATTTTTATCAGTTATCTTCGGGCACAAACAAGACCACTAGGAAGGGTTACTCTGGCTGGGCACAGTGGCTCACACCTGTAATCCCAACACTTAGGGAGGCTGAGGCGGGTGGATCACGAGGTCAGGAGATCGAAACTATCCTGGCTAACACAGTGAAACCCTGTCTCTACTAAAAATACAAAAAATTCGCTGGCTGTGGTGGCACATGCCTGTAATCCCAGTTGCTTTGGAAGCTAAGGCAGGAGAATCATTTGAACCCAGGAGGTGGAGATTGAAGTGAGCTGAGATTGCACCACTGCACTCCTACCCGGGCAATAGAGTGAGACTCTATCTCAAAAAAAAAAAAAAAAAAAAAAAAAAGGAAGTGTTGCTCTTCTTCCTAATGATAAGTGGAGGAAATCACAAGTCAGGAAGTGTGGGAGAATGGTTAGTGCATAAGCCACGGTGGGTCTTATTATTTCTGGACACTTCTTGTGTTGTTGCTCCTTGAGCTCACTCCTCCCTCCCCTCTATTCTCTGGGGCATAGGGTAACTATAAGCAATGGGGTTGGGTTTTTTTTTTTCATTCATTTAAATGAAAAGACTTTCTCTCAAATTACTTTCTTTTTCTAATGACACCCCATTGATCAAAACATATTAATGTCTCTTCTGGAATTTCTTTCATTGCTTATTGAGTATTCTTTTGGATAATTCTTAATGGTGGCAACAATTTTCCATCCCTGAGGGGTGAGTTTGGTTGTGGCTTTTTTGCCAGATAATAACAATGTAACTTTATGAAACATTTTACAGTTTTAGAGACTAGGATGTCCTTGGTGTTGACAGATTCAGAATTAAGACTTATGACTAAAGAAGATGGTAACTTTTCTTTGGGTAGAAAATTTGACATAAAACAAAGGAAAGAGACAAGTTTTGGGGGTGGTTCAAGAATGGCCCAAAAGCATAGCCAAGAGTTGAGTTATGGGCCAACCCCTTTGAGTAGTGGTGGCTCCACTGGGTAGCCAGAGTGACAGCTTTAGCGAAGGGCACAGAGTTTGATGCCTTCATTCCAATGTGCGAGTTGTGAACAACCACAGCCATTGCACCAGGCGCCTTCAACAAACATTCGAAAGTGCCTATTAAGTGTCAGGTGTGGAGTCATAAAGAAAGATGTAGGACTCTGATGTCTGGACTTGCAATCTAATGGGGACAAATGCAATGCTTATGTGACAAGTGCTGGCACAGGTGTCCATAGGACCACGTGGCACAAAGGAAGGTGCTGTCACATCTCTTGGGGCTAATGGGATAGAAGGGACTGGTGACCAGGCATGGAGTGTCAGTAAAGACCTCATGGGATTAGCAACAGTCCTCACAATTACCCCCCAGGGTAAGTATTCATATGCCCATTGTGCAGATGAGACAGCTGAAGGTGAGAGAGATTAAAATGCTGGCCAAGGTCACAAAGCTGGGAGCGTGGAAACCAAGGATACTTCCTCTTTGCTTTGCTTACTGCTGCATATCCACCTAGCACTGCGTGAGTACTAAATATCAGGGCTGGAATCTGGGTCTGTCTGAAATGCAACACAACACTCTCTCTACCTCAGAATGCTGCCTTCTTTTTGCTGAAAAAAAAAATCAGAATTCATTTATTATTGTTGTTGTTTTAAGTTTATAGGCATACTTCAATGAAAGTGAAGTACCTAGAACAGTCCCTGGCACACTATCAGTGCTGCTTAAATATTTGCTGAATGAGGCAATGTGGCTGGTGCCTGGCTGGTGCCAAGAAAATCAGAGACAGATCGGAAGAGGAGAAGAGGGCAGATGCAGCACGAGGTGCATGCCAGGCACACTGGGCACCAATGGCATAGGAGGACCAGGTATTGGTTTTACTATTTGAGGGATAAGTAGAGTGAAGCTCAAAGATAGGCAGTTCCTTGCCCCAAAATCACTCAGCAAGTGGCAGAAATGGGCCACACGGCTTCTGAACACAGTCACTGATTGAAGTAGACAACGGGCAGCAGCCAGGGAGTACATTCAGGGGGCACAGGGCACCACTGAGTTAGGATTTCTCTTCTTTCCTCATTCCTAGGCTCTAGTACGACTCTTCTCTTAAAATGTAACCCCCCATACACAATAACTAATGTTTAAACTTCTCTAAATCTTCACCTTAGAAGGAATGAGCTTTCAATTCTTGTCTAAAGCCACATCCTAACTGTAGGTGGAGCAGAGCAAGAGCGTCTTGTCTATCTCCTTTTCACCTCATTGGTGAAGGAGAGATTCCTACCCTAGGAATCTGGGGATGGCCAAACACATACCATTGACACTGGACTGATGAGGTTGATAGTAGTTTGTCACATAGACTCACAGCCCAGAGGAGGA